CCAGAAAATTTAAATTCAGCTTTCCCTTGCCCGTGGGTAACATGCACGGCCCGTGAATATTTTTGACGGGTAAATTGTTATTTCAGGAGCCACAAAATCTACGAAGCTGAGATTTTAGGGTAATGACCCCCTGACCACGAACGATCTTGCAAATTTAAATTCAGCGTTCCCGCGCTCTCGGGTATCACCTACGGGTCAGTGAAAATTTTTGTGGGCAAATTATTATCTCGGGAACCATAAAGTCTACAAAGCTGAAATTTTAGGGTAGTGGCTCCTTGCCCATTTATAACCTTGCAAATTCAAATTCAGTGCTCCCGCACTTTCGGGTATCACTTACGGCCCCGTGAAAATTTTGTTCAGTTAAATTGTTATCTCAAAAATCACAAGAGAATGAATATCCTTAAATTCATCCTTCAAGGTTTCAAATTCACCTTTCAGATGTTGGTGCGTGAAATTTTTTTAACTATTTTTCAAAGTTTCAACTATTTTTGCACAGACTGAAGTACAGAGCAGTGGAAATCATTAATAGGCCATCGTTCGATGGGCTGAATTGCACAAAACGCATGATCGCACCAGCTGCTCTGGTGCGCGTTGCTATTTATCTTTGATAACGTTGAGCAGTGTAAACCATGGGCGCCATTCGGATGGGTGAGGCATTCTCTTAGAGGTACTCTCGCGATGCTAGAAGGCTGTAGATGTAATATGACGAAGTTGGGTAGGAATTGTTTGGATGAGTGAGGCTTGAAACGGAGGGGCTTGGGAAGGTTGTTAGCTGCAGCGAGAACGGAACAACAAGGGGCCACTCAGAAGCTGTTAAGGCAGAAGAAGTTGTTCATCAATTGGGGTCTCCGTTGTGTTTTCCGCCACGTGAATGTCTCCGGTTTGTAGCCAAATACTGCTGGTTGTTCGCAGAATACGTCGGGCTGTGCATCAAGAGGCATATGGAGCTAAAGGATCAGAGAGTAGCAGGAGGAGAAGCATTTCTCGTAGAAGGACTGAAGGAGGAAGCCAAGCTTAGTGTCTGGTCGTACAGGACTGTTTCCAGCTGCTTGAATACTGAGGAAATTTCAACAAATAGCAACGCGCACCAGACTAGCCGGTGCGATCATGCGTTTTGTGTAATTCAGCCTATCGGACGATTGCCTATTAATAATTTTCACTGCTTTGTATTTTAGTCCACACAAAAATGATTCAAACATTGAAAAACAATTAAGAATTTCACGCACCAGCGTATGAAAGCTGAATTCGAAACCTTGAAGGGTGAATATCTTTCCGTGATTCCCGAGTTAATTTAAAAATTTCACGCACCTGCGTATGAAAGCTGAATTCGAAATCTTGAAGGATGAATATCTTTCCGTGATTCCCGAGTTAATAGTTCACCCGCCAAAATTTTCACGAGGCCGTGATACTCAAGGGGGACAAGTGATACTCAAAAGCGCGGGAACGCTGAATTTGAATAGGCAAGGTTGAGCGTGAACAGGGGGTCATTACCCCAAAATTTCAACCTCTTAGACCCCGTGGTTCCCGAGATATTAATTTACCCGTAAAAAACTTTCACGGGACCGTACGTGTTACCTCCGGGTACAGGGAAACTGAATTTAAATTTGCGGGGTCACACGGGGGTGGGAAACGTTGCCCTAAATTTTCAGCTTTCTAGCTTTTGTGGTTCCTGAGTGGGAAGTTGCGGACAAGTTGCTGCGGACACACACACACACACAAACACACATACGGACAACCCCGTGACAATATGCGTTTTGTACTGCTGTTACACAGCACAAAACGCATAATAAAACTGGAACTGAATCTGAGGTTTGACGTCGTATGAGTTGTGGGTAAAAAAGGAAGACCGGCGTGGGTTGGAGAGGGGGACAAGTTGGACTATGTGAGTTGTTGCTTGACATAGATCGGTCCCTCTTAGCTGTTGCGTTAGATCACCAACACTGGTCGGATTTCATACCGTTGTAACACACCTTCGTAGATTTGACAACTCCCCTGTAGTTGATTTGATGCGCATGTCGTAGTGCTGAACTTGTTGTTTGCAGGAGTAATTTACGACATCGAAATGTAATGAAATTATAAAGGTGGCACTTTCAAAAAAGACCAGGGCTCCACTCACCAGATTTGCCCATGCAGTTATGCGTTTTTGCACTAAACTTGCAGCAGTCAGATCGTTAACAGTATGAATGCTCTTGCACAGTGAGCTAGCGCGTGGATTCATTTTAGCTATGTTTTGGCCTCTTCTTGCATGCAAGCGAAATGGGCGTCAGTTAGCAATGGTGCATCGTGAAAGCTGTGCGAAACTCCAGCATTTATGATTATCAGTTTTGCGTGAAGCCCAGTTGTTTTTCCTGTGGGCCGTTGTTCATCGAGAAATGCGAATTTGACAGCGCACAGGATTTCGGGATTTGAAGTGTCTTAAATAGCAGCGGCGTAAGTGCAAATTGAAACTCCTTTTAGGTATACAATTTCTCAGATAGACGATAAATATTCTGAAAAAATTTCAGCTACTGTTTTCTAGCTTGTTTTCGAGTTAATTCAGTGCCAATTGCGAACTTTGATGTGATTCTACAAATAGACGTAAGCGTGCAGGCAGCTGAATTTGCACGGTTAGGGAACACCAGTGTGAAATTTCGGCTTTATAGCTTGCCTGGTTCTCGAAGTCGTTTTCCCGCCACAAAGTTTGCATATTTTTTTTCGGCGTTCGTATGTGGGTCTAAATGCAATTGGACGGTGATTCCAGGTTGTAACGATGATACGTATGCTGAGAATACGCTTGCAAAATTTCGGTCTCCCAGCTCTCCTGATTGCTGAGTTGAAAGTGCGTGATAAAGTTCGCTGGCTTTCGAACATGTGCACACACACATACATACACTCACGCACGCACAGACACACACACACGCACAGGCACGCACACAGAGCGCGAGCCTTTCGGCATATGCGTTTTTGCTTACTGTAGCAGGTACATAGCAAAAAAGCATAAAAACAGTCGTATGAGTGATCCTCCATAATGTTGGACTGCGAGAAAGGCCCAAGCCGATTGCCAACGTGTATTATGCTTGGCATAGCCGTCTTCTTTGGTATTCGACCGATTAGTTTTGGAAATTCTTAAGCGTTTTTAGGGGGAAGTTAGCCGATGAGTTTGGCAGCGTCAGTGGGGCGAGAGAAAGCTGCAAGGGTATTATCATATCATATTGAGCTGTGGATGTTACTCATATTAATTTAGGAATGGCTGAACCAGAAAAAGCAGAAATGACATGCAAGCCGGAATCGAGCTGCAGCGGAGGGTGTCGTCGCCGACCCATTGCCCGGACGCATCCTGCTGCTCCAGAAACTTCGCCCGGAGCCACTGCTAACGATATAACAATTGTTATGGGTGATTGTTCGGACAGTAATTCTGCTCCAACTTCGCCAGAAACTTCTGCTCCCGGCACATCAGCGACATTCGGTGGAGCTCAGCAAAACTGTGGTACTGCAGCAGATTTGGACACTACAAATGCAGCAGCTGCTGCTGCAGCAGAAGCAGCACTGGGTGTATCGGATAGTGGCGCTTCGGCGGCTAAAACGCCTCGTCGCTGGGAGCAGTGGAATTACGCCGAAATCGATGCATTTTATGATGGACTGAAGCAGGTCTCTCGTTTAGCCAGAGCATTTGCATCACCTTCATGCGAGCCTAGTTTCACTGAAATTTTACTACACCAAATGTAGCCACCTCTGAGTAGTTTTTGATGATTTCTGATTTTTAAATGTGGTTTTCTCAAATTTGGCCTTTTTTAATAGAAACGCGAAATTCAGTTTTTTTTTTTCACCCCTTCGATTTCATGCATTCAGTGAGTCAGTTTAATCTAAGCAGGAAATTTGTTACATAGTTAACACATTGCAAGTTGTACTGTTAGGCCCGTTACGTGATCCCTGACTGTAGCAGCGATGGACAGGGGAGAAACACCAGCAGTTTATTCTTTTAATAAACACTTCACTCCAGAGAAAACGTCGAGTAAGATGACGCGTCAAATGGCGAACGAGATGACGCGTAGGACAATGAAACGGGGTACCACACAAGTTGTGCAACAGAACGGCGACGGTGGGGAGGCAAAACGATAGAGGCGTTGGCCGTGACAGTGGAGCGGTGCCGTTGACTGACGATTTCTGGCAACTAACTAACTAACTTAGGATCTGGATCAGGGAGGGGTTTATATAGGGAAGATTAATGGAGGGAAAAGGAGGGCAAGTTAGTTAATGAGTAGGAAGGTAGGTAGTACAGAAACATTTAGAATTTGGTGGAATTGTTAGAAATTAGTAAGACGGGGGAAGTAGGTCGAAGTGTTAGGAATTAGTGGGAGGAGGGAAATGGGTAATTATAGGGTTACAATACAGCGCATAGGTCAGCAGAGTGCATATAATAGGATATAAATCGAAGGGATTTAGATTGTGATGGGTCCTGCTTCAAGAATATCGAAGTATATACCAGACAAATTTGAAACGTATAAACATATAATAATTGGGCGCATTAATTTACATTTTTTTCTTCAAACGAAGTAGCACATCGATGGGCGGCTGCTCGGAGCATCGCCCGAGGCTTTCCGTAAAAGTGCAGTCTCCTTGTCGGTTCATCCCACTCTTTGATACCATGAAAATCGCATTTTACCTCACTTTTTTCTGTGGCATTCTCCAGATGGTATTTTTTATCCTATCGGTTTAATTTTTCGCCAATTTCTATCCGAACTTTGGCGATCACGTCGCAGTTTTCCTTGTCGTTCTTGTGATTTTGTACCTAAAAAGCTTTAAAAAAACAGCCACCGTTCTGCTCTGCCTCCTATTCTTCATGCTCGGATAAGCCACGGATTCTTAATAGACTCGTGCTAATTGATTAACATTGTTCTGCTTCATTTTTGAAACCGTTGATTTTACAGTTTGGCAAGGATTTCGAGCAAGTTGCAAAGCTTATGACAAGGAGAAAGGTTGCAACGAAGGACAAAGATCAGATCCGAAATTACTATTTCAATTCACTGAAAGTGTTTAGGGCGACCGCTGAGGTGGATGCACGTACGTGTTTTGCTCGTTTCAGAAGCATTTTTTCATTGGCAGTGATGCCTTTCATTACTTCATTCATACTCTGCCATCCTGCAGCCAGAGAGCTGCTTTGACCACTAGTATTGCTTCTAGTGCTTTAGCTTTCTTCTGAAGGAATTATTAACCCGGCATTTCTCACACTTGAAGCATTTTGCCACTTCGTAGCCTGAACGATCAAATTTCGCGCTTCCTGTCCTGGAGGAAATGATAAACTGGCAGAAAGAATGATATCAAAGGGGAAGAATAAGTGCAGTGAGACGCAAAAAGAGGAAGACCGATCGGACAGATCGACGTCCACAAGAAAAAATAGCCATGCAGAAATGGTAATAAATACGGGAACGAGAATGCAGTACGGAAGGAGCCGGGCCGAACAGCGAATGTATGCTAGATGTAAGCGATTCGACACAGGAGGACTTCCCTTTGCCCAGCCCTTTTATAATATTTACGCTTTCAGAGTAATATTTTTGGCATGGTGCTGCTGATATATCCTACAAAAAATGTATAAATAAAAATTTTTAACGAGGGTTGAAAATGTTAAAAAAATTTAAAAATTTAAAGATTTAAAAATTAAGATTGACATTGAGAATATAGACCTTATCGTTATATATTAAGGAATTATATTGAAAAGAAAAAGTAACTAAATAGGAATGGAAAGCGTAGAAAGGGTCATGGAGGCCCAACCAAGAAGTGATCATTCCAAACAGGAATGTCTGCGTTGTGGCAGTCGAGGGTTGATAATG